ATAAAGGGGGTTTGGCCAGCCTGAAAACAACCATCATGCCCTCACCCAGGCTGGCCAAACTTCCATGGGGTGAGGGTCCCCCCTTGGGGGCTCTTGACTAGCCTCCAAATGCCATCAGCCCCTCACCCAGGCTGGCCAGGAACCCCAGCAGGAACCCCATCCCTGAAGGGGGTGTGTCCAGCGAAAAAACAGCCCTCAGCCCCTCACCCAGGCTGGCCAGGCACTCCACCGGGACACCCACCCTAATCCAGGACACCCTTTAGGCAAACCAGCCAGCCTCCACCCATGCACCAGGCCTCTATCCTATAATACAAGTGCTGGCCAGGCACCCCAGCAGGAACCCCATCCCTGAAAGGGGAATGGCCAGACTGAAAACAGCCCTCAGCCCCTCACCCAGGCTGGCCAGGCACTCCACCGGGACACCCACCCTAATCCAGGACACCCTTTAGGCAAACCAGCCAGCCTCCACCCATGCACCAGGCCTCTATCCTATATAATAAAAGGGTAATATGCAAATTGACCCTAACAACAGAATGACTGGGAATGACTGGTCACTATGACACACAGTGACCACCAGGGGACAGACGCTCAATGCAGGAGCTGCCCCCGGATAGTCAGTGTACTCCCACAGGGGGAGCTCTGCTCAGCCACAAGCCAGGCTGATGGCTGCCAGTGCAGCAGTGGTGGTGGGAGCCTCTCCCGCCTCCTCAGCAGTGCTAAGGATGTCCAACTGCAGCTTAGGTCTGTTCCCTGCTGGCAAGTGGACATCTCCCGAGGGCTCCTGGCTGCCAGAGGGATATCTTACTGCTAGCTTAGGCCCAATCCCCCAGGGAGCTGGCCTAAACCAGCAGGTAGACATCCCTCAAGGGGTCCCAGATTGTGAGAGGGCACAGGCCCAGCTGAGGGACCCCCCTGAGTGCACAATATTTTGTGCACTGGGCCTCTAGCATATTAATAAAACAGTACTTCCATTATTGTTAACAAAGTGAATGAAAGTTAGCTACATAAAGATAATGTTGAATGAACAAAGCTAGATACAAAAGTATACTATAAGATTCTATTTACATATAGTTTAAAAACAGGAAACTAATGTACAATATTAGAATTCAAAATAGTGGTTACTATTCTTTTGGAAGAAAGGAAGTTGGCAGTGAATTGCGGAGCACCTGAAGGCACTGGTTTGAAGTATGATGGTTATACATTATACACTTATGTATAATGAATTTTTCAGATGTGTACAATACATCATTAAAATGTTTGTAAAATGAACAATTATAATCACATTGAATTTATTAAGTAGCCACACAATTTTAAGAGGGGAGAATACCATATCACTAAATAGTGTCCTTACCTCTTTAGGATTAATACATCTTATTATGTGACGTGGTTCTCCTTGTCTTCTTATATCAATCAGACTTTTAAAGTATTGGAAAATAGCGATATTCTAAAGGTTCAAACATAAAATTTCATGGTAAAAACTGGGCAAAAGGAATATAAACTATAAAATAGATTCTATATATGTAAACTAGATTTTAGATATATGATCCATACAGGGTTTCCTTTGACAAGCCATGCAATATTGGTATTATTCTCACAAGCTTTAGCCTTAAGTTTGTAATTGTATTACTAACAGCTATAAATAAAATATCTAGAACTTTGGTTGGGTTACTTATGTATACTCCAGAGTAATCTAGGGGAAAGAAAAAATACAAGCTAGTGATTAAGAACACTGACTCTGGCATACTATTGTCCGGGTTCAACTGCTAGTACTTGCTGCTGTGTGACCCTGGACAAGTTGCTTAACCTCAGCTTAACTAAAATATGGGAATGATAGTAACTATCTACAGGTTGGTGAAAAATGAATGTTAATATTTGTAATGCACTTAGAACAATCTTTGTCACAAGAAAGCACCTAATAAATATTATCTATTATCATCATTATAGAATCCTCTTCATTCCTGTTAAGTAATTCCACTGATTTACAAACCCTGTCTATTTTTCATGTTGGCACAAATTTAGTCAAACAATTCCTAAAAATTCTTCAATTTTTGAAAACTGTTTCTTTGGTAACCCACTCGTCATGTCCTATCCCTCAAAAACCCCTAATAATTCTTGTTAAACTGCCTCTCCCTCTTAGTTTGCTTATGTTAAGTCAAATCAAATAAATTCAAATTGAAGTAAATCCATAGTACCAATACGACAATTTGAAGCCCCATTTCAACTGCCTGTGGAAGAAGGTGCAGTCACTATCAACATAGATATTATTTCTGCAAGGAAGATATAGTTTCCTTGAAGTAAAACCCAAAATTGAGTATCAAAAAATTATGATGGTTTAAAATCTGGATAGTATCTTCTAAATATGTAGATTACTGTATCAAACCACCCCAAACTTAAAGCAACAACTGTTTTCTGTGGGTTGACAAGGAACTTCTGCTGGTATTGGATATGTGCCTATAGTCAGCTACCAGATCAGCTGGAGCTGAGTGATTATTATGACCTCACATATATATATCTGGGTCTTCAGCTTGGAATGTTGGAACATCTGTGTTGGCTGGGACTCTATCTCCACATATCTTGCAGTTTGAGTTTTTTCACAGCATGGAGTTTCAAAATACCAAAGAGAGAAAAAGTAGAAGTTGCAAGGCTTCTTAAGACCTTGTCTTGTAAGTCATACAGCATCAGTTATTCTTCATTTTATTGGGCTAAGTCAAGACCTAGCAGACCTCAAGAAGTGAAGCTCAAAGTGTGACCTATAAGAAATTCCATATAGACACTGGCCTCACTCAGGAGTGACCCTGAAGAACAGGCATGAAGATAAAACCTTCCATGGGACAGGATCTCAAGCAGCATACATGATTGTAGATTGTGCCTATAAGGAAAGATGATCAGAGGTACAGATCTACAAATGGGCAGTGACTGATGGTTTGACTGGATGCTCAGGAATTTGGAAAGAACATGGTCAGAAAATTGGTGACAAGAAAGTCTGGAGAAGGGGTAAAACGACCCACCCCCAAATGCACACCAAGTGTGTATATATTTGTGTCCACATGGATGCTTACCCGAAAGCAATCTCAGCAAAGAAGACTCTTAACAATCATACAGGCAAAGTGACTAGTTCTTTGGAGTCAGCCAGCCTTTTTCCCCAGCCACTGTTCTCCTTGCTCATGAACAAAGTGGCCATCCAGCAAAGTTGGAGGTTATTCATCGGCTCAGCTACTGTCGACTGCTGAATGGCCACTTTGCCAAAACATAGACCAACACTGAGCCCTTGATATGGCATCGTTCCTTGGGGTAATTAGCCAGCTTCCTGTGGCACACTGATTAGATGAAACATTTCCATTATGAAAGGCGCAACACTTTATACTCACTGGAAGTGACACTTTACCCTTCTGTGTACACACCATCTGTATACTTTCAATATGCTTCATTTATTGTCATAGCACTGCACATAGCATTAGTTCTTATCAGAGAAATTGCTTCACAGCAAATGTAGTACACCAATGGAACATGTGCATGAAATTCACTGATATGACCATTCCTTATCACACTAAACCAGCGATTTTCAACCAGTATGCACAAGCATTTTTGGGTCGCAAGCATCTTTATCCCTTCACTCTCATCCTCTGTGTGTCTTTTGTTTTGAGGTGGGTCTCTTGTAGACAGCATATAGTTGGGTCATGTTTTTGTATCCATTCAGCTACAAAGCATTTAATCCATTTACATTTAGGGTTATTATTGATAGGTACTTATTAATTGCCATTTTAATTCTGTATGGCTCTGGATATAGTAATCTTGGTCTCAGATCCTTGAGTATTTCATACAATTCCCTTCTGGCCTGTAGAGTTCCTAATAAGAAATCAGGTGTCAGCCTTATGGGAACTGCTTTGTAGGTAATAGTTTTCTCTTGCTGCCTTTAAGATTCTCTCTTTGTCTTTAATTTTTGGCATTTTAATTATGATGTGTCTGGGGGTGGGCCTGTTTGGATTCTTCTTGCTTGGGGTTCTCTGTGCCTCCTGAACTTGTGTGACTTTTTCCTTTTTCAGGTAGGGGAAGTTTTCTGCCATCATTTCTTCACACACATTCTCTATTCCTTTCTCCCTTTTGCCTCTTCAGGCACATCTGCTGTTCTAATATTATTTCATTCCACAGCTACCTTAAGCTGTCCTTCTGATTTTTTTATTGTTTTTTTTCTGTTTGTTTCTCTGATTGAGTGATATTTTCAACTCTGTCTTCTAATGCACTGATTTGATCCTCAGCTTCCCCTAATCAGCTGTGTATTCCTTCCAATGTGTTCTTTATTTGTGCAATGTCATTCTTTATCTCAGACTGTTATTTTTTTCATACTAACTATATCATTTTTCATGCTATTAAGCATCTTTACCATCATTACTCTGAACTTTGTTTCAGATAAATTTCTTATCTCTGCTTCATTTATCTCTTCTTGTGGAGAATTCTCTTGCTCTTTCATTTGGGAGTTGTTTCTTTGTCTCCTCATTTTGGCTTTCTGTTTGGGTTTGTGACTATGTATTAAGTAGATCCTCTACACCTCTCAATCTCTAGTGCAGGGCAGTGTTAAAGGCTGTTTCTGACTAATTAAATCAGGCAGACTCAAAGTCTCCAGAGACTGACTTTGCCTACAGACTGATAGGATTCCCACTTGAATTGTCCCCCAGGCAATCATCCTCAGGTGTGGTGAGAGTTTTTTCAATAGGGTGGGGCAGTTGCTTCTCCCTGGAGGCTAATTGTTATTTTTAATCTCTTAAGTGGCCTCTGGGCAAGGTGTTTTCCAATAGGGTGTGTTAACTGTCTTCCCACCATGCAAGGCAAATGTCTATGTGGGAAAGATGTCCTCCTCTGCATGAGAAAATGACTCAGCCCAGGAAACTTGGGGTGTCTGCCTTCTGAGCTCTATCCTCTGAGTCCCCAGTCCTGGTTTCTTTTTTTCTTTTCTTTTTTTAATGTTCTTATCTTGCATATATTTTTCAATTCCCTTTTTATTTTTTACACTCCAAATAGTAGCACGTTCTCATGGGAACAAAAATAACATGTTTCACATGTTACCATAAAGGAAGTGCATTAACATTATTTATATAAAGATTCAACAC